AGATACCATTAGCCCAGGCTTCAGACTGCTTGGCAGCATTTCAGCCAGCCAAAGATCAAAGCAGGGGCTGCATGACCCCCTTCCTAAATACCTGAGGACCTTGTTCTCCCTGGGGCTCAGCAAAAGGTGGTACAGGCTTGGGCCAATGGCAGCCACAGCAGGTGGAAGGAAAGTGTGCCCAAGTCAGGGAGAAGAAATGCACTGTTCTTCTAGAGAATTACTGTGACCCTAACTCTGGGATCCTGCTGGGCAGAGACTATGGGTGATGGACTTGGTATCATAGTCCACTCCCTTCACCATAACCTAGTTCTACTAGAAATCATTGTCTCCATTATTCCCCATTTCTGGAGACACCACTATCTCTACTCAGGGGACTGCAATCCCATCTCTGCATTCCTAGAGGAGAAAACCTCTGTGGGAACCAGTTATTGATGCAGCGAGGCTTTGAAACACAGTAGGTCTTCACCTCCACAACAGAGGGGTAACAGGATGGGTGCACAATCTCAGAACACTAGCACAGACTAGGATTGTTCTGAAGAGAAAACAACTCCCTATGTGGCTGGCCCCTCACTAGGGCAAACACCAGACACACAGCTGCAGGACTTATTGAGGCTCCCACCTCACATGCCACTTTATATCCTCCAAGTTGACAAAGTGAGTCATAGCACCTGGGTAGACCTGACCGCCTGGGTGGGAACAGCTATGATGACTGGAAAACTCTTCAACCCGTCATCCCTCTCCCTATGCCCAGTTCCAAAAGGATCTGGCTCTGTCTTAGCTCTATTGCTCTGGCTTGGCAGATGTCCTTGGACAAGTTAGCTAAACAGAAAGTTCCAATACAATATCCGATGGAGGCCAATGCCTAGCCCTGTGTAACCAGACCATGCCCCTGGACTGAGCTACCTGCATTCCTGAAAGGTCTTCTATGACTTCATAATGACCTCATAATGCTGACCATGACCCTTCCGTTCCCTCTGCCTCCCCACTCTCCATGTGCACGAATGTTACTCACCTTTAATCTTCAAAGTGACCTCAAAGTGGCCACCTCCTCCATCCTTGAATCCATTCAGAACCAATTTCCCCTCACTTAAGTATTTGGGATGGTGCCACATTCTCCCTAGCTTCTCTCAGAAGCCTCTCCTCCCTATGCCTGCATCCATCCTATCTTGTGTCTGTTTTCGCCTCTGTTTAACAAAGTGCCTGTGCTTTGAAGGGCCAAATGAATATGGCCAGGTGTCCTCTGATTTTTAAGAGAGATTAGGGGCAGAGTTTTCTGGTCATTCATCTGTTGGTTAACCTCACATCCTTTTCAGTTAGTTGATCTGAAAAAAATAGCCTCAATCCTTGCAACTATAATGCAAACTCACTTTTTCTTAACCTTACATTCCCAAACTTCAAACCCAATGAAGTAATCAATTCAAGAAGATCACAAACTTTTAAGGTCTAATGATCTTTTAGGGATGGACACACAGAGGACAAGACCTAAAAAGTTTTGCTGTTGTTTTGTTTTTTAATCTCTCCCAGTCTGAAAGCACCACACTGGGCATTCAAAAGCTCAAGCTCCACACACCTTCTCTCAAAGTTATTCCCAAATTAGTTTTAGTCTTCAAGGTATGTTTCACCTTCTCCAAGATGATAAAAGATGTGGGGAAGGAAAAAAGCCCAATCAACAAAGCAAGTGAAGAAGCAGATGTAAGCAGGCTGAGGGTTAATGGCAGCAACATAAAATAAGCCAGAGGCAAATGATCCCCAAACCAGAGAAGCCTCAGAGGCATGCACAGCTGGGAGAGAGGAAGCCAAAGGGTGGTCTCGGCACTGCCTCACCTTCCACTTGTCCAATGGGGGGAGCGCTACCCCATTGGAATGGTTAAGGTCGGACACCAGCACCTTCAGAATGTCCTGAATCTACAGGAGGTGAAAAGGGAAAAACAAGGGTGGGGGGAAAGAAAGAAGTGGCTTAGAGAGAGGCAAGAAAGTCAAGGGAAGGGAGAAGTTGGTTTAGGAAAATGAAATGCTGAAGAAGAGCAAAGGAGACCAATACCAGGGCCTGTGCCATCCTTCCAAAAAGCCACTTGCTGCCTTGCCAGAGCTAGCAATCAAAGTAAACAAATAGTAAAATTCCGAGTGATGTAGTCAAGTTACCTGACCAGTGCAAGTCTTAATATGCACATGAGACCCTCTCCTCAGGCTTAGGATGCAGGGCGGAATCTGGAAGAGCTCCAGACGCCCATCTCCATTTCAAAAACCAGACTCCCAAGTAAGGGTTCACTAGAACACAGGGAGCTAGAGCTAAAAATTAAGTTTGAAAAACAATGATTTAATCCAACCATATCATCTTACAGATAAGGAAACTGAGACCCTGGAAGAAAATAATTTTCTGAGGTCACCCAGCAAGCTAATAGCAAAAACAGACTCAAAATTCAGACATTCTTCCAATCCTGGAGCCTGGGGCTCTCCTTGCCACACCCTGGGGCTCTTGCAGTGATGCATCCTAAAAGAAGAGCCTGATGGCAAGCAGCTGTTCTCAATTGCCTGGCTTCCCCCTGGCCCACAAGGCTGAGGAAACCAAATAGCAACTACCATTTATTGAATGTTTACTCCAAACCTGACTCTCTATTAGGAAATAAACATAAAAACAATAAATCTCATTTAAGCTTCATAAGTGTACATAAAAACTATTATATTTTTTTTTTCAGTGCTGAGGATTGAACCCAGGGGCCTCGTACAACTGAGACACCCCCAGCTCTCAAAAACCAAAATTCTTTTTTTATAATGTTTTTGGAGTTTTAGACGGACAACATGTCTTTATTTTTATGTGGGGTTAAGGATCAAACCCAGTGCCTCACATATGTAGGCAAGCACTCTGCCACTGAGCTACCACCCCAGCCCCTCAAATCCAGAGTTCTTTTTTTTAATTTTTTTGTAGTTGTAGATGGACAGCATACCTTTATTTTATTTGTTTATTTTTATGTGGTGCTGAGGATTGAACCCAGTGCCTCACACATGCTAGGCAAGTGCTCTGCCACTGAACTAGAGCCCCAGCCCTCAAACCCAAAATTCTTAACCAATACCTGACACTTCTTCAATCTTAACCATTACCCTTTTTGCCCTTTGAACCCCCAATCCCTGGGAGGCTGACCAGCTAAAACTCACATCCTCAGGTGAATGACAACCACCAGCAGTGGTTGTCTCAGGGCTACTGCCATTTTTTATCTTTTTTTTCTTCTTTGCTCCTGCAGGAACACCAGGACTGTTCTTCTGCTGATACTCTCTCAGCTGTGAAAAGGAGAAGCAGTGACACTCATGAGAATGAGCCCCTATATTCACATCTTCCTCTATAATTTTTATAAAATATTCTTATGTGTACCATCTGATGTAATGTCATCAACAATGTCACAAGGTGTTTCAATGATTAAGGACTGAAAATATGGACTACAAACATGAAGTTTTTTATAAAGACAATAATGGAGTTCAAGTTCAATCTTCTGATTCCCAGCTCTGGAGTTCGCCATAAAGCAGCAGCTCCCAGGGGCAAGCCAGAGGTAGGGGTGGATAAGTAAATATTAAGTAAGCAGGAACTGTACACTGGGCAGTTCAGAAGCCAAACATTGGAGTCCTGCTTATACCTCTGTTAAAGCTGCACACCAGTACTTCCCAAAGTTTTACAAATCAACATATCCTAACAGAAGGCAGTAAAGACACAGCCCCAGCGAATCTGGCAACAGAGCACACCCAAATATCATTTCAGAGAGGTCTATTACAATCTTAAAAATCTATACAAATGTCATCTCTCTATATATTAATGTCTAATCGCTCTCAAGAAAATAAAATGATGCTTCAGAGAGATGCCTCACATTTATTATCCCAGAGCACTCCGCACCCCAAGTTGTGAAGATGAATTGGGGAAGATGCAAACTGTGAAGCTCAGTTCCCAGGACCAGTTCCACATTAGACAAACAGACCTCACTCCAGCAAACACTGAATGAAGGGCACCCTGGTCCCAGAATCTCAGCGAATTCGAATGTAAAGATGTCAGGAAAAAAAAATTTTTTTAAGCCACTCTGGAAGGTAGACACCTGGGAGAAAAATCCCAGGTTTAGGAAGAACCCAAACCTGTTCTTCCATGGTCATCGGGAGATACTGTCAACGTTTTTATTAGCTCATTGGTGAAGTGTGTAGGCTTTCTGAGTTATCACTGTGTGAGTTGGAAGTAAGGAAGCCTAAAACCTCTCAGCACTAGGTCCCACAGACCTGAGAGTTCCCTTCCAGGTGGAAATCTGTGCCCAGACCAGACAAGCCCAAAGGGAATGAAGACACTTAGGGGACCAGGTCGGAAGATCACAGGCCGAGCTCGCGGTGGTAATGACAGTTCAGAGGGGGGCTGTGACGTAACTACATTCCACTCCTCCCTACCGACGCCCGAGTCGCTACTCCACGGTGGGGGAGGGGAGCGCAGGGCTGGGACCGAGGTCCTTAACGACCAGGGAGCCCAGGGAGATCCAATTTGGGGCGGCAGGAAGCCGGGGCCGCGCCTGGAGCGGAGAGCCCTGGAGTCACCGGCCAAAGTCACCCAGGGGCGACTGGCGAGGGCGGGGGCTGGGCTGTTGAGGGGGCGGGGCTGGCTGAGAAGACTTTAGTAGGGGGAGCTGAGGGGCGCCCAGGGGCTCGCCCCGTGTGCCTCAGGAATGGCACAGACTCTGGCCACTGTCCGGCCGTCGGAAGGACTCGGTCTGTCTGGCTCGAGGGGCCGCGACCCGGCGCGTTTTACCTTTTTCTTGGCCGCGGCCAATTTGCTCTGTCTGGTCTCTTCCGACATACCGGGGCGGGGAGGGGAAGTGGGGGGGGCCACGTCACCAAGATCCCAGCATCCAACGCGAAATTGCTTCCGGTAGCTAAAGCGGCACGAAGCGAAACAACCTGGGGAGGCGTATCCAGGGCGGTTCTAGGCGTCCGTGGTGGGCGTGGCCTAAATTCTCCAAGCTGATTGGTTAACAAGAAATATGACTGGGAGAGGGGCGTGGCCAGGCCACCGCGAGCCGCGGTGGGCGGGTGGAGTCACAAAGAAAGCTGCGCGCGCGCGCAGCCGCTGTCCCCGCCCACTCCGGGAAGGGGCGGGGACTGCGCTCGCTGGGTGCGCGCGCAGCTTTTCGTGCGACTGTTCCTGGCTGCGGCCGCCGAATTCTTTTCATCCCGAGCACCTGAGGCGTCATTCTCCAGTCCTCGCCCTGGATCCTCCTGCACCACAGAACCTCCCGGCCCGGGGGCCTCGGACCCCGGGGCTCAGGAGGTGGGTGAGGAACTGGCATTAGTCCCTTTCCTGATTCCTTGTAGCTCCTCCCCGGACTTCCAGAAATCCCCTTCAGCACCCCCCACCCAGCCCTCCTAGCACTCTCTTTCCCACAACCCCTCCTTCCTCGAGGGTCCCGGCCCTGATTCCGGGAGTGTAGCTCCCGGCTGCACCGGTCCGGTCACCCTTACTTCCCAACTGCTGCTCCTCCTGCATCCGCGGTTCCCGGTTCCTTTCCAAGCGGCTCGCGGTCCCACCAAGCCTTTTCCCTCGGCCTTCTCTCTAGGACTGAACCCGGACAGAACCGAAGTTCCCGCGGGGCCTTCCGATCCCCTGTGAGTATATCGGTGCCCCACCCTCCTCTCCATCCCACTGCAGCCCACGCTTCAACGACTTGTCCCAGCGGGATCTGTTCTGCTGAAAAATCCCAAGTCACTTCGCAGTCCCTTCCCTTCCTCCTGCCCTCCAGTCTTCAAAGGGCTGTGCTGGCCTCCCCCTCCTGCCTCAGCTGCTTTTTCCCCTCCCTTACTCCAGTCCTTCTGCTAAGGTATTTCCCTTCACCCAGCCCCGCTTTTAATCTTCCCCCCAGCTCTTGATGTTCGTGCGGTCCACTCTTTTAGCTTCTAATCTCCTTTTCAAAAACATCCTCCTCCTTTACTCTGATTACCCATGATGGGGTTTCCATCACCCCTCTCAATTAGATCATGAAAGTCTTGGTATTTGTTCATTGATGAAGCTCCTGCCCTTAACTGGGCACCTGGGATGCTCTGCCAACCAATTTCTTCCCTCCAAGAGCCACAGGATGAGGAGGAAACAGACTAAAAAATTCTAGGATAGTATGAGCCTGGTTTGAAGAGCGGGAGCCCAGACTTTAGTTGTGCAAGGAAGCCTCCCTAGAAATGGTGAGGCTGAAGGTGAGACCTAACGGATAAGTGGCAGTAAGCCCAAATGACAGGGTGGGAAACCACAATCTGTGAAAAGCATCAGGTTGTATGATATTTTCTCCCAGGGAAACAGTGTGGACTGCCTTTGACCTCCCTGTATCCTCATTGGATTCCAAATCATGCCTTGCTTGTTCTCTGAATTCATTCCTTCCCTTTTTATTTATTTTTTTAAACATTTTTTTTTTAGAAGTAAAAAAGTTGGACACAACCCTTTATTTATTTATTTTTATGTGTGCTGAGGATCAAAACCAGGACCTCGGGCCTGCTAGATGAGCACTGTACCCCTGAGCCACAATCCCAGCCCATCATTCTTTCCCTTTTTAAAAACAAGCCTTTGCTGGGTGCTGTGGCCCATGCCTTGTAGTCCTAGTGGCTTGGGAGGCTGAGGCAGGACTGAAAGTTCAAGGCCAGTCTCAGCAATTTAGCAAGATCCTGTCTCTACATAAAATATAAAAAGGCCTGGGAGAGCTGGGATTGTGGCTCAGCAGTAGAACGCTCACCTACCGTGTGTGAGGCCCTGGGTTCAATCCTCGGCATCACATAGAAATGAATGTTCAACTGCAACTAAAAAATATTTTTTAAAAAGGGGGGGGGGCCTGGGGTTGTGGCTCAGTGGTTAGGAGCCCCTGGTTTCAATCCCTGTTATATTAGTTAATTAATTAATTAAAAAAGGATTCATGGGACTGGAGATGTAGCTCAGTGTAGTGTGCTTGTCTAGCATGCACGAGTCCCTGGATTCCATCCTCAACACCACAAAACAAAATAAGACTTTAATTTAAAAAAAAAAGTTTAGACATGGGGTTCTCACTGTGTTGCCCAGGCTGGCGTCCAGCTTGGGTTAAGCAACCTCCTCCTGCCTCAATCTCCCATGCACTGGGTCTTCAGGCTTGCATTACCATGCAGGGATGTAAGAAGGCTTTATTGAGCACTTTATTCCAATTAGCTTACTCTAATATATCTCCTAAGTCCTTCCGGTAACTTTTGAGGCAGATACTTTATCATCCCCATTTTTGACCTGAGGTCTCTGAGTGCCAGAGACAAAGTCTCACAGGCAGAGCTGATGAGTTTGAACTGCAGCAGTCTCCTCCTACAGCCTGAGTGAACCCTCAGCTTTGTCTCCTTCCTCTGTTTTTCTTTGCCTTCTTGACTGGCCCCTCTGCCTCCTGCCGCTCCTTTTATAATATGGAGTGTATCAAGGATTGAACCCAGAGGTGCTCTATCACTGAGCTACATCTCCAGCCCCTGTAATTGTTATTTTGAGATAGGATCTTGCTAAGTTGCCGAAAAAACCTGCAGTCTCCTACCTCAACCCCCATTATAGGTATGTGTCACTGTGCCTGGCTCTGAGTAGTTTCTCCCTTCTCTCTCTGCTGTTCTTTTTCTGCACACTCCCTCAGAAATTTCTGTCCTGTGTTTCCAACTTGCCCCAGTGCACATGACTCTCTAACCCTTACTTTCTGTGGACACTTAGAGCTGCCTACAGAGTATCTTTGTCTTCCTATTTATCCAGTCTGAAACTGCTGTCCTGTTAGACACTCCCTTAGGACACTTTTTATGATTAACATATCATTCACTCATTCATTTGACAAATGTTTATTGAGTGTCTGCTATGTGCCAGATACATCTATAGACTCGGTGCTATCAGGGAACAAAACAAAGTCACTGTCCCCATGGAGTTTATCATAATAACAGGTGTATGAAAATACTTATGAAATGTACTTTAGGTGTTGAAATGCAATACAACATCAGGACAGGGTGATGTAGGTGAATGAGGCAAGTGGTCAGGGAAGGCCTTTCTCGTGAAGTGACATGTGAGTAGAGCTTTAAATTAGGTCCTATCTGGAGGATTGACCTAATTGTTGGGTCTTTTCTCTTTGGGCCTAGGATATAAGTTCCTTGAAGACAGGGGCCAGGCTGGATATCCACTATTGTTGAGTGACCAGTTATGAGCCACTGAACCACCAGGAGCAGGAACAAAATCTTTTATTGCCTCTTGTATCCCATGTAGACCGTTCATCCAACATACACTTCCTAAAGATTAGCCACATACTAGGCACTAGCTGTTGTGGCTTTAGAGCCAGAAAGGACAAAGATGAACTGTAGCCCCATGGAGGGTTATGCTATCTGGTGACATTTGCAGACTTAAGAAGAGAACCTAAGAAGGAGACCTGGAGTGCATTCTCTGGAGTCATTTTGGGGGCCAGGGTGGGCCATTTAGCTAGGATTAGGTTTGGCCAGCAGTGAAAGAAAACTCTAGATAACAATGGCTTTAAGAGTCACTAGAGACCTAAACCTCCATCTGTCCTACCACATCCTCAACATGTGGCTTCTGCCTCATTGTGCACGATTTCTGTTCAGTTCCAGCTTTACCTCCACATTTCAGGCAGCAAGAAAAAGGAAGGCCAGAGAAAGGTGCCCTCTCCCTGGAGCGACTTTCCCCATTATATATATATATATATATATACATGTATATATATATGTGTGTATATATATATATATATATATATACACACACACACACACACACACACACATATATTTCACTTCTGATAAAGTTCTGTTTGGCAGAATTTAGTCATAGGGCCACTCTAATTCCAAAGGAAACTAGGAAATGTTTTATTTGGGGGCTTAGGAGTCTATTACTAAGCAAAAGTGGGGGGTGGCTATTGGGGGACATCACATAGGCTCTGAATGGTAGATAACTGGTCAGTCCCACTGATGACTTTTTATGCCACTCAGAGGCCATCTTCCAAGTCTGGCCCGGCTGCAGGAACTGGTGAGGAGTCCTTGCACCATGAAATTCAGAAACTAAAAGAGAAAAAGAAGATGTTGGAAAGGGAGATCTCCCAATTAATATCTGGGTAAGTCTTTTGGGGCTCCTTAGCATGGTTTAGATAACTTTTGTGGGGGACACAGCTCATTGTCTGGTGTACACAAGGCCCTGGGTTTGACCCCAGTACCACAAGAAACAGCAACAACAGAAACTTCAACTATGCTCTGTAACTGATATGGTCACACTGGCTTGGCATAAAAAAAGAATGGCAGGGCTGGGGCTAGGGCTCAGTGGTAGAGAACCTACGTAGCATATTTGAGGCACTGGGTTCAATTTTCAGCATCACATATAAATGAATAAAATAAAGGCCCACCAACATCTAAACAAAATATTAAAAAAAGAAAAAGAGCCGGGCGTGGTGACGCACGCCTATAATCCCAGCAGCTCGGGAGGCTGAGGCAGGAAGATCTTGAGTTCAAAGCCAGTCTCAGCAAAAAGCAAGGGGCTAAGCAACTCAGTGAGACCCTGTTTCTAAATAAAATACCAGATAGGGCTGGGATGAAGTGCCCCTGAGTCAATCCCAGTATCAAAGAAAGAAAAAGAATGGCACCATTGGATTCACCAGAGGCCTCAGCAGCCTCGCTGGAGGAGTGTTGGTTGGGCTGGAAAAAACTTGGAAATGAGAATTGAAAACTGTCCAGGATAGAGTCACTCTTCTAGTCTCTCTCAAGCTGCATTCTGTCCTCAGCTTCCACCTACACCCAGATTGTATTCTGGCTGGGAGGAAGGCTTTCAGTGCCTAAGGCAGGCTGGCTTTTCCGTTCTCCAAGCCTCTTGCTGCAGCCAGCCATGGAATGTCGTTTCACACTTAATGGATTCTGTCTGGATCTTGTGTCCCATCTGTGAGTCCCTCAGCTATGGCCAGGGTTACCTAGGGAACAGGGCATGCAGAGCAGATCCTCTACCAGCTACAAGCTTCAAGAGGTAGCGTCTCTGCTACCATCACTGTGTTCCCAGTGCCTCACACCTAAAAGTCCAGTAGTGAACATTTGCTGCCCAGCTCAGATCCTTATCAACTTTCCCACGGTGCTCTCTCCCTTTCTCTCGTTGCTCACCCTAGAGGCTACAGTGAGGATGAAATGGAGGAACACATCTCCCTGCTTCACGAGTATAATGACATCAAGGATGTAGGACAGATGCTGCTGGGAAAGCTAGGTGAGCAACAGGCTCTAGAGGAGCCACCAGGGATCCAAAGGTGTCCCCTCCACTAGCAGTGTTGGGTTTTGCTCCTGAGCCTCCAAACTTGCCAACCCTCCTGTTCTTCTCAGCTGCCCTGCTCTTAGAATGCCCCAGCCCCTCTCCTCACCAGCCTCTGCCCCCTCTGGCCGCCCAGCAAAGCAGTAATACAACTATTCTTACCTGAGTCCCAGGGATTTTTCCTCAAGCACAGAGCCTTCTCTGAAGTGCTTTAGACCAGGACTTAACCCATCTGCAAGATCATGAACTAAGGTTCCCCCTTCTTCGGGGCCTACAGAGATACCATCTGTGTGGCTCAGGTGTCTGTCCAAAGAGGCAGGAGGTGCAAGAGCGACCCTTTGTGGCTTCAAAGAGTATTCTGTTCCTCCTCGAACTAAATCTTGCTATCCAGAGAGTTTTAACCAAGGCAGACATACCTGTGTGTCTCCAAAGTAAGGCTGATTTGAGGTAAGGAAATGTGCAGATGGCCTTGTACAGACCCTCCAGGTCCATCAGCTGGCCTGGCCTGGTGGACAGCCTGGCATCCAGCAGCCTGGGTATCGTTCAGAGCTGCCCAGTTGCTGCATGAGTTCTGCACTTAGTGCAGGAAGTCGTGACAGCATCCAAGCTTCCACGGCAGAGAAGAGTCCCGTTTTCCCCTGTGTTTTGTTGGAGAATGGATCCCAGTGCAGGAGAAAACGAGGAAAATGGATGAAGGGCGAGTGATCGGGGGCCCAAGAAGAAAGGATGTGAGGAGAGTGCTGCTGAGTGGGTGGAAGCATTCTACTTAGAACTCAGCTTGAGACCTGCTATTGTAGGGTCCATGTACCTGGAGCCAGTGGCCTATCCCTTTTTGGTTTATTCAGCGAGTATTTTGGGGGCACCTCCTCTGTGCCAGGCACTGCACAGATCTTACTTTGGTGAACAGACACTTGAAGGTCCTGTGGCTTGAGTTGTAGTGTCGTGAGGGTGGGGTGGAATGGTTGGTAAGTAAAGGAACACGTCAGATTAGTGATACAATGTGTTAAGAGCAGAGCTGAGGAGAGACCTCGGTTGCAAGTGAGGACAATGTAAGGTGCTCCGAGGAGCCTGAGGAGAACCCTTCCCAGTGCCGGGGAGATGAGTCTCTGAAGCAGCAGGAGGCGCAGCTCACACAGGCCACAGACCAGCAAGGGCTGTTGCCTGGGCTATGCTAAGATGTTGGGTTTTCAGCAGGTCTGAGAGACAGTCAATTTTCACTAAAATTCTTGTTTTGTTTTGTTTTGCAGTTATTGGGAATTGAACCCAGGAATGCTCTGTCACTGAGCTCTCCATCCCCAGTCCTTTTTCATTTTTTGAGTCAGAGTCTCACTAAGTTGCACAGGCTCCCTCAATGTGGGATCCTCCAGAGTCATTGGAATCACAGGAGTGTGCCACCAAGCCTGCCTTTTTTTTTTTTAAATGGTACCAGGGATTAAACCCAGGGGTGTTTAACTTCTGAGCTACATTTCCAGCCCTTTTTTATTTTTTATTTTGAGACAGGGTCTCACTAAGTTTCTCAGGGCCTCACTTGCTGAGGCTGGCCTTGAACTTGTGATCCTTCTGCCTCGGCCTCCTTAGCCACTGCGATTATAGGCATTCACCGTGGCTCTGACTTTTTTTTTTTTTTTAAGATGGACACAATATCTATACTTTATTTTTATGTGGTGCTGAGGATCGAACCCAGTGCCTCACATGTGCAAGGCAAGTGCTTTACTGCTGAGCTATAATCCCAGCTCCCTCTGACTTTTTTTTTTTTTTTTTTTTTTTGAGATGTGTTTTCTCATTATTGCCCAGGCTGGCTTCCAACTCCTGGGTTCAAGTGAACCTCCCACCTCTGCCTGTCCAGTAGCGGGGGTTACAGGTGCACATCACTGCCTGGCTTCCGTTTATAGTTCAGGCAAGGACTTTAGCTGTTCTGTGTGGTGAAGGATTCTGGGGAGCTTCATTTCACTCTGGAATGAAGTGAGTGTCCAGGGAGTCAGGTGCTCACGGCGCAAGTTCTGAACACAGTATCTGGTGCGTGGAAGGCTCAAGTGTGAGCTGTGGGCAGGGCCCACAGGGAGAGGCCTAGAAGGAGAAGCTTTTACCTTTGCCACTGGGTGAGGCGTAAGTGTGAGCACTAGCTAGAAGCCAGGAGTGCTGTCCTGTGTGGGTCAGGCCAGTGATGCTGGCCTGGGGTTTGGCTTACTTCCTTCTACCTTTCCCTACTGGACACTCATTCATTTTTCTCCATTTCAGCCGTGATCCGAGGTGTCACCAGCAAAGAGTTGTATCCAGAATTTGGTCTGGACGTGAATGACTGAGCTGAGGCTCAGCCTCAGGTCCAAGACCCACAGGGACAGGTGGATGTGGACTTGAGAAGCAGCAAGAGCCCAGCCAGTGCAACACTAAGTTTCCAGTGAGAAAATGCTAGAAGCCCTTTGCTGAAGATCCCAAATGAAGTAAGGAGGGAGCTCAGAGAAGAGGGAGTCAGGGAGGAAGGGGTATTCCCAATTCTAAGGTTCCTAAAATGTCCCTGTGATCCTGTGTATCAGCATGTGTATTCCATTTGCTAATAAACATGAGCAATCTTGGCATCAGTCTGTATACCAATTCTTTCTCCCTCTAATCCCTGTTCCTACTTGGGGGAGAGAGCCTGCTTTGGGTTTTAACATCCTTACACCTATTGTCTCTAATGCTCAAGAGCATTCTGTGAGGAATTAGTTTACTGTCCCATTGAGGCTCAGCATGTGGGAGACCAATCTGGGAAGTGACTGAGTTAACTCCCCTGCTGGGCGATGTAGCCTCAGGCACCCATGCTGCTAGACAGCCCCACTCTCCTAGGGTTCCCCTGTGTCTTTGTGCATGGGCGTGCCTTCCTACAGCCCCATGGGTGGAGCTGTGCTCACTGTTCCTTTGTAATATAACCCCTTGCCCTGTTTGGGATAGAAAGGTCCATGGAAATGCCTTGTGTGTGTCCCCTTCTCTTACTGTGCCCTTGGGTGTGGCCTTCCTAGATGTCAGTCAGCTCGCTGACAGCAGACATCATGAAGCTAGTCTCAGCCCCCTGAAACCTGACCCCTTGCCTTATTTGAATAGCTTCTCAATTAAAAGGGGTCAGCGTGTGCTCTCACTCTCTCTTTCTGTGGGCCCTTAAGGTCAGAGGAGCTGTCATAGCACCCCCAAAGAAAAAGGTATTTGTGTCTCTTGTGCAGTTATTTTGCGCAGCCCAGTCAGCCCAGTTCCCCTGGAGTGACCCCTGAGTGTTTTAGTCGTGAGCAACCCAGCATCAGAGAGAGTGATTACCCAAGGTCACAGAGCCATAAATGAGAGAGCAGAGATTTGAAGCCAAGTCTGACTCTGAAGCTGGTGCTCTGCAGTACTGCCTTCCTGGGTTGGTGGGGTTCTTTTTTTTTTGGAACTGGGGGTTGAACCCAGGACTTTGCGAATGCAAGGCAGACGCTTTGCCACTGAGCTACATCCCAGCCCTGCCTTCCTGGGTTGGGAAGAAGCTTGGAATGAGGAATGACATCACTTGAACTTGCAGTCCTCCTATCTCAGCCTCCCAAGTCCCTGACATTACAGGCCTGTTTTGTATTAGTATATTAATGTTCAATTTTTGGAAAAACATAATTATCCTCTTCTAAAATTTAGCCATTTTGATTATATACAGTATTCCTTTTATAAACCTTTTGCAATTTCCTTAGAACCTTTACAACTGGCTCAAACCTATGACACTTAAACTTTCTATTTTGACCTGTATTGCCTTCATCACATGCTGGAATAGTTTAGTCAGTCTGGAACAAAAATTTCACTTTTGCCAATTTTTTTTTTTTTTTTTTCACTATTTGGTGAGTCACTTTGTTGCCACACTCATGTCAATCATCAAGCCAAATCTGATGAAACTAAACTCTGAAAACAAAGTGCTTTTTAAAAATTATCTTTGATAAAATTCAGGATGACTGTAGAAAGAAAAAAATATGTTTCTAATAAAACACTATAACTTATTAGATCATAGCTCTATTTGTTGTGTTCAGATTCTTGAAATCTACATGCAGACTGGACTAAATCCAAAATTCTTCTAGTTTCCTCTAATATCTGGCTGTAACTCTCCAGTCAAAAATTCAAACTTCTCTTTTCCTAACGTCCTATAAACTAAGCCAGACCCAGTGATGCACACCTATAATCCCAGTGACTCAGGAGGCCACGGAAGGAGGATTTCGAAGTTTGAGGCCAACCTTGGCAAGTTAGCAAAACCCTGTCTGAAAATATAAAGGCCTGGAGATGTGGTTCAGTGGTACATGCTCCTGGGTTCATTTTCCAGTACCAAAAAAAGTCCTATAAACTGAACAATTAAATGTCCGTTTCAAGAGGACAAGCCTCGTCCCCAAAGTGAAAACCACAAAGTGGACGTGGACCAAACCATAACCAGAGGTATTTGAAGTACAAACCAAGATGAGGAGTTGACATCAGAACTAGATGCCCTAGCATAATAGCAGCTTTGCCCCTCCTAAATTTTTCCTTGTTTATGGCTATTTTTTCCACTTGATATGATAATGATGTAGTCAGAATTTCACAATCATAACTCAGGAGGCTGAGGCAGGAGGATCTCAAGTTTAAGGCCAGTGTGGGCAACTTAGCAAGAACCTGCCTAAAAATAAAAAGGGCTGGAGGTGTTTCTTAGTGGTAAAGCACCCCTGGGTTCAGTTCCAGTACTGCCCCTAAAAATAAAGTAAATGAATTTTCAGAATCAGTAACTACTATGGATAACTTGACACAACCTGACCTAAGAATCCTTTAATCTACCTAGTGGGTAACTTGGGTAACATCCCCAATGCAACTTTTTATTCAAATTATATAATAGTCCCCCTTTTTTTAAACCTTTTTTAAAATTTTGTTCTAATTAGTTATGCATGACAATAGAATACATTTTGACACATTGTACCCAAATGGAGCACAATTTCTCCTTCCTCTGGCTGAACATGGTGCAGAGTCACACCGGGTAGTGTAATCATACATATATATAGGGTAATAATGTCTGTCTCATTCCACTGTCCTTCCCATCCCTATACCCACTCCCCTCACTCCCCTCTGCACAATCTAAAGTTCCTTCATTCTTCCTCATCCCATCCCAATTATGGATTAGCATCCTCTTATCAATAAGAGAAAAATTCAACCTTTGGTTTTAGCTTATTTCACTTAGCATGGTATTCTCCAGCTCCATCCATTTACCTCCAAATGCTGTAATTTCATTCTTTAAGGCTGAGTAATATTCCTTTGTGTGTATGTACCACATTTTCTTTCTCCATTCATCTGTTGAAAGCCATCTAGGTTAGTTCCATACTTTAGCTATTGTGAATTGAGCTGCTATGAACATTGACGTAGCTGCATCATTGTAGTATACTGCTTTTAAGTCCTTTGGGTATAAATTGAGGAATGGAATAGCTGGGTCAAATAGTGGTTCCATTCCCAGTTTTCTGAGGAATCTCCATACTGCTTTCCATAGTGGAGTTCCAACAATAATGTATGGGTGTACCTTTTCCCCCACATCCTCGCCAACACTTATTGTTGCTTGTATTCTTGATAATTGCCATTCTGTAATAATCCCTTTTTATAACACTCTTAATTCAACTCTCTAAGAGTTCCTGCCTCAGCCTCCCAAGTTTCTGGGATTACAGGTGTACGCAACTGTGCCCTGCCGGCCCCTATTCTTGATAATAAACGTGCAACAAAGAAGGCATGCTACCTTGCTAGGCAGAGATTTGCAACTGGGGACTGAAATTCTCATTCTGCACATTGACATACAAGGGAGAGATTTTGCTGTGAAAGTTGTCAGAATAAAAGATTAATGTGGGCTGAGATTGTGGCTCAGCAGTGGGTGGAGTGTGCTCACCTGGCACATGGGAGGCCCTGGGTTCGTTCCTCAGCACCACATAAAAATAAATAATTGAACGTAGTAAGACTGTCTTAAAATAAAATAAAAAGAACTGAGGATATAGTCTAGTGGCAGAGCACCCCAGGTTCCATCTAGTACCGAAAGAAAAGAAACAAACTACTATTAAAGACCGCCAAGATCAAAACCTTGCACAAAGAATATTTCTAGGAACTGAGGTGCAGCTCATTGGCTGAGTGTTTGGCATGCATGAGGCCCTGGGCTCAATCCCCAGCATAAAGAAAGAAATAGGCAACAGCCCAGCAACTGTCTCCTCAACCCTGGACTGGCACCATTTTGTTATTAACCTTTGAATATCCTTGGGGCCAAGGATCATTGTTTCAAAATAACTGATGCGATGCTTTTGTTTTTGCCTTTACAAGTTTTCCTCTGTACCCGTGGAGCAGGTTCTGCTCTGCAGTGCTCCCTGCTTTTTTCTTTTCCTTCTTTCTCTTTTTTGAGATAGTGTGTCACTGTGTTGCCAAAATAGTCTCAAATTCCTCGGCTCTAGTGATCCCCCTGCTTCAGCCTCCTGAGTAGCTGAGATACAGGGACATGCCATCACGCCTGGCAGATATCACTGTTCTTTGTTTTGTTTTATTTTGATTTGCAGTGCCTAGGGATTTAGCCCAGGGCCTAGCACTTGCTAGGAAACCTCTCGACCACTCAGCCATGTATCCCTACTCTTTTTTTTTTGTTTTTATATTTATCTTTTTAACTGTGGTTGGACGTAATACCTTTTTTATTTGTTTATTTATTTTCATGTGGTGTTGAGGACCTAACCCAGGGCCTCACACATGCCAGGCAAGCACTCTACCGCTGAGTCACAACCCCCCCCCATCACTACTCTTTAGTTTCTATGTTTTGTTATTTAAATGTTGGCATTAATCATTATTTTTTTAGTTGTAGTTGGACACCATACCTTTATTTTATTTATTTATTTTTATGTGGTGCTGAGGAACGAACCCAGGGCCTCGCATGTGCCAGGTGAGCACACTCCACCCACCGCTGAGCCACAATCTCAGCCCACATTAATTCAGCCCACATTAATCTTTTTTTTTTTTTTTTAAAGAGAGAGAGAATTTTTTAATATTTATTTTTTAGTTTTCGGCGGACACAACATCTTTGTTTGTATGTGGTGCTGAGGATCGAACCCGGGCCGCACGCATGCCAGGAGAGCACGCTACCGCTTGAGCCACATCCCCAGCCCACACATTAATCTTTTATTCTGACAACTTTCACAGCAAAATCTCTCCCTTGTATGTCAATGTGCAGAATGAGAATTCCAGTCCCCAGTTGCAAATCTCTGCCTAGCAAGGTAGTATGCCTTCTTCGTTGCACGTTTATTATCAAGAATAGGGGCCGGCAGGGCACAGTTGTGTACACCTGTAATCCCAGAAACTTGGGAGGCTGAGGCAGGAACTCTTAGAGAGTTCAAAGCCAGCCTCAGCAACAGCGAGGTGCTAAGCAAGTCAGTGAGACTCTGTCTCTAAATAAAATACAAAATAGGGCTGGGAATGTGGCTCCGTGGTTGAGTGCCCCTGGTTCAATCCCCAGTACCGCATCCCCCCCCAAAAAAATATAGGGGTAGTTGGTAGAGTGCTTGCCTAACATGCACACAGGCCCTGGGTTCAATCCCCAGCACCAAGGCGGGAGAAAAAAAAATAG